CACCTTGTTCTCACTGTGGCTACCGAGATTCCTCTTCTAGGAAGCCCAAAAGCAAACCTGATAACAGCAGCAGCACTCTCCCCTGCTTCAACTCCCAGCCATTGGCGTTACATGCAAAAAATACACTATATTAAGGCAAATGGCACACAGAATGTGTGTAGGTACAAATGTGTATAAAAATGCATCTATCAGTGCAGATAACATACAAAAATAAACTATATTAGAGGAAATTGCTTGTAAAAAGGAGTGCATTGAGAGAAACGTCTAGTAAATGTGCTAATGTTGTAACCCTCTCTGGGGCCTGAGATGTTGTTTGCGGATGACGCAGCCTCGACAGAACACTCTGAGGAAGGTCTATAGAGAAGCATCAGCCACTTTTGCCCAAGCCTGCATGGAGTTCGGCCTCACCATCACCCTGATGAATACCAATATCCTGGGTCAAGACCAGAGGCGGAGTTAGGGTAGCGCGGCCAGTTCTGCTAAACTGGGCACCAAGCCACGAGGAGCGCCACAGGGAATTGCAACTATGAAGTGTTAACTGAGCAGAAAAGAAGGCGAGAGAAAAAGGTTGGCCCCACCCAGGGTGCCACTGAAATTTGAAATACCAAGTCCACCGCTGTCGGGACGTCACCAGCACTCCACTCATCAGCACTTGTGACCTCATGCTTGAGGTGATAGGCGCTTTTGTCTTCCTGGGCTACACCATAACCAGCAACCTTTCCATCGTCGCTGAGCTGGACATGTGCATTAGCAAGGCAGCTGCGGCAGTGGCTCGCCTCTCCAAAAGGGTATGGGAGAATGCTAACGGCCAATATCAAGATGAAGGTCTACTAGGGTTCCATGTGAAGCGCGCTGCTTTGTGGAAAGGAGTCGTTGGGAACTTATACCCCCAGAAGTGACACCTGAATGCCTTTCCACATGTGCTGCATCAGAAATAATAATGGTGATGATGGTGATGATTTATTCCTTATACAGTGGTACCTCAGGTTACAGACGCTTCAGGTTACAGATGCTTCAGTTTATAGACTCTGCCAACCCAGAAATAGTACCTCGGGTTAAGAACTTTGCTTCAGGATGAGAACAGAAATTGTGCTGCGGCGGCAGCGGGAGGCCCCATTAGCTAAAGTGGTGCTTCAGGTTAAGAACAGTTTCAGGTTAAGAACAGATGTTCGGAACGAATTAAGTTCTTAACCCAAGGTACCACTGTACCCTGCCCATCTGGCCGGGCCTCCCCAG